TATTAAATATATTTCATTTTATGATATTTTTGAATATATATTTTTGTATCGCTTTTAAAAAAATACATGTTTTTTTAATATTTAAATTATTCCTTCAGCTTGTAATATTTTATTAGTGGTATTTTTAAAGATTACAAATATAATAATCATCAAATAACTTTTTTCTAATTTGAACTTGAATAAATCGCAGTGGTTAAATAAAAAACGCTAGAAAAACGCGCAGTTTCAGCAGCACTGCTTGCCAAACTGTAGTTGGCGTTAAGCAACAGCTACGTCACCAGCTCATGAACCAGTTTTATATTATTTTTTAAATTGTAAGCATTAAATTTGTAGACAAAATGTTAAAAACAAATATTTTATTTTAATATATCTCTGTTTGTTTTTGTGCATAAATGTATATATTTTGTTTACATATTTTTAAAGAATTTAGAGGCTTAATTCGTTTCAGCTATTATAGCAACATCTCATATTGATTACTGATATAAAAACAAAGTAAGCACGCACAACATATGTTTCTCGCTGTCTGTTCACAGACAAAGTCGAAACCGAAATTTATTTCCATCAATTTCAACTGTTGTTACAGCTGCTTCTTGATGGATGTTAAATGGATTTTCGCACGTAAGCATGAGATCTTTTAAGACTGCGTTTTGGCAAATATCTTGGCTAATTTAATTAAAGCGTACAATTAAAGGCATTTAATTCCTTTTACTTAAATGCATTAGACGATGACGTCAATTAAATTAGATTCTGCAATAAATACACTAATGGAAAATTGCTGCCCACACCGAGAGCAGAGCTGTGGCTGTGACTCTGGCTGAGGGTGTGGGCGTGGCTGTAGGTGGGCATCACGGAACGGAAGCACTGCCTGGCGGCTTATTTGGCGGCAACACCTGAAACCAGTGAGCCACACCCAAGACTCCGCCCCCCTCCCTTGACCAATGTTTGGCACCATGCGGCGCCTACTTACATGCTGTTAATTTATGCTAAACGCATCGCGTCTTTGCATTTAATTGTGAAATTAAATTGGTTGCGATTGATGTGGAAACGATGCGAGTCGGAGCAGGGGGAGGAGAAAGGTTAAATCCTTAAATAACCCTTTTGGGATATAGCTTAAGAGATTTAAACTAAGATTGGTATTAGAAACGGAATCAATTGACATCAATCTGATTTTGAGAAACTTGGCAATGGCTACATCTGAAAAAATAGATATAAATTTTATAAATATATTTACTTTAGTCATTCAGTAATCAATTGTTTTAAATCTGATTGTGACACTGCCTTTAGACAAATGATTCCAATCCATCAATCTCAACTCTCGCAT